TGTCCTCCTATTACTTGAACACAGAAATGTTCTTTATATGTACCTCCGTGAGCGGATTGTGTAAGAACTCCTTTAGGAAAGTTGACTGGATGGACCAGTAACAGCGTGTAGTTCAGGGTCTCTCTGTGATTGGCTCTGTGACACGTGAAGTTTCCCCCCCGCAGCCCGTCTATGGTGACAGTGATGCGGTTTCCTGTCTCAGAGATGCTTTTCTCGTTCCTCTCCCAGCGGATCTGCTCTCCTTCATATTGCTCTCCACAATGCAGTGACACCTCCGAGCTGGACAGATCCGACACGTCCAGAACCACGACTACAACACAAAACCTCCATCAGACTCGCCACGGGAAACCAATAATGCATACTTTCAAAAATGTAAACTTAGGTCGTATTAAATGGATCAAAATGTATAATATTCACTGCCGGTCAAAGGTTTGGGGTTGCACGATTTTTTTAACATCTTCTGCTACATACAAAAAAAACAAAAAACCCTAAAATTGTGAAATATTTTTACCATTTGAAATAACTGTTTTCTATTTGAATATATTATAAAATGTAATTTATTCCTGTGATCAAAGCTGAATTTTCAGGATCATTACTCCAGTCTTCAGTCCCATCACTCTAATATGATTATTTGCTGCTCGAGAAACTTTTCAAAATTATTATTATCAAAAATTTTCTTAATTTTTTTTTTTTAAACAGCATTTTTCTGAAATAGTAATAGTTTGTTTATAATAGGGCTGTCAAATTATTAATCGTGATTAATCACATCCAAAATAAAAGTTTGTGTTTACATAACATATGTGTGCACTGTGTATAATTATTTTATATATATATATATATATAAATACACACACATGCTTGTCTATATTGTCATGTATATAGATATATTATATATAAATATTTTAAATATAAATGATATTTTCTTTCTTAAATATACATGCATGTGTGTGTATTTATATATCCAAAATCATGAATGTGATTGTTACTACTAAGAAAGCCATTTTAGATATCAGAAATAATATTGATATCAGAAATACATTTTCAGATATCAAAAATGAACATTTTTACTAGCAATTGAATTGTTAATATCAAGAATAGACATTTCAACTAGTGACAATTTAATTATTGAAATCAGGAATTCACACTTTTACCAGTAACAATGTAATTATTGATATCAAAAATGATATTTTTACTAGCAAAAAATCAATTCTTGATATCAACAATTCATTTTGAATGGCAGCAATTATAGAAATCAGCAATTAAATTGTTGATATCAAGAATTCATATCCTGGAAATGAATAAAAGCTAAAACGGCTTGCCATACACACACACACATATATACATTGTTTAAAAAAATCAGCAAAAGATATACCAATAAATGAGATTTAATCAATATTCACCGTTTTCCTTGAGGATCCTCAGTGAAGTGCCGGCTGTCGACTGAAGGACAGCTTGCAGAATGAGAAACACAATCTTGTTCATCTAAACAAAACAATTAAATGTTAATATTATAGTGTTATTGTGTCAATTAAAGTAAATATTAAAAGAAAAGCATTATATCAATATTTCTTTAAAATGATTTTGTGATGATATCTGAAACGGCGGTCACACACATCTGTGTATGTGAGCAGTGCAGATGTGAAGGAGCCTTACCTTGAACTGAATGAGTTGTGGTGACTCTTCCTTTCACTGCTCTTTTAAACCTGAGATGTGAATGCGAGACAGAAGTGTGAATTTCCAGCAAGCAGAAGTGTCGCACTGTAAACAGAGGGATGTGGAAACCATGTGGTGCAGCCAGTTTATTAGGGATTTCCATGAGCTGTGTGACAGTGTGTGTGTTGTGTGTTAGGGGTTTCAGCGGGAGTGCTTGACCATAAGAATGAAACACCTTACAGGTCATCAATTCAATCAAATTGGTAGATTTTTTTTTGGTGTGTGTGATTCATACTTTCACTGCTGTTACATGATGATTATTTGTTTGTATGTATATATATATTAGATTGTATATATGTATATATATATATATTAGATTATATGTGTGTGTGTGTGTATATATATATATATATATATATATATATATAATATATATATCCAAATTAAAAATTAAAACTACATTATTAATATAATATACGTATATGCTGGATATATTAATATGTATGTATGGATCTATAAATGTATGGATGTATGTATGGATGGATGGATGGACAGTAATTTATAAATATAAGGTTGTAATATTTTATATATATGAAAGGCTTCAATATGGAAGTATATAGCAATTTATAAACATTGTAATTTTTAAATATATTACTTTTTTTCATAAATGAAAGGCATCCATATGGGACCATATATTGATTTATAAATGTATCGTAATTTATAAACAATTACATATTTTTTACATGTATGAAAGGCATCAATGGGAGCATATATGAATTTATAAATATATTACATATTTTTTACATATGAAAGGTTTCTATATGTGAGCATAGAGTAATTTATATTATAAATATATTATAATTTCTAAATATATAATTACATATGAAAGGCATCATTATGGGAGCATTTTTATATGTAAGCATAGAGTAAGTTATAAATGTATCATAATTTCTAAATATATATTTACATATGAAAGAATATATATATATATATATATATAGATTTCTATATGGGAGCATAGACTAGAGTAATGTACTAATTTATAAACAATTACATATTTTTTACATGTATGAAAGGCATCAATGGGAGCATATATGAATTTATAAATATATTACATATGAAAGGTTTCTATATGTGAGCATAGAGTAATTTATATTATAAATATATTATAATTTCTAAATATATAATTACATATGAAAGGCATCATTATGGGAGCATTTTTATTTATGAGCATAGAGTCAGTTATAAATATATCATAATTTCTAAATATATATTTACATATGAAAGGCATCATTATATATATATATATATATTAATAGATTTCTATATGGGAGCATAGACTAGAGTAATGTACTAATTTATAAATATATAATTACATATTTTTACATTTATGAAAGGCATCATTATGAAAGCATATAGTAATTTATAAATAAATTATATTTTATAATTTATAAATATAATTTTCATTTTTTTAAATATGAAAGGTTTCAATATTAGAGCATATAACAATTTATAAATAAATCATAATTTATAAACATATAATTACATATTTTTCTCTATATAAAAAGCATTCATCTAATTTATAAAAATATCGTAACGAGTCTCTTCAACTGGCTCTGTTTGTTTATAAATATAAAATGACATATTTTTGATTACAATTATGTATATTTGTTCCTTCAAATGAAGTGAATTCGGTCGCTGCTGCCGAATGCGTGTGGATTTGAACATTATGAAAGCATCACCGTGGAGATATTTCAGTAGTTATGCAGATATCATAGTGTGACTTACACATTTTAGTGTAGTGTAAAAGCACCAACCACAAGAGAAAGTGTGTACATTGTCACGCGACGTTCATCAACCACAAACCACAAATGTATTTTTTTGACATTATAAAGTAGGTTGGGTAACATAGGCCATATATAAATCTAAAAGGGTAAATTGTTGAACGTCATCATCATTAAGATGACACAAATATTTTCTAGATCCCTAACAACCATCCACTCAAATCCTGCCTCAAAATCAATAATAACGAGGAGGAAGTTTAACGTGATGCTTCTGGACCACAAATGCATCCGCAATAAAGATTTCTTCTCAAACCTTTGGTTAGTTGTACATTAGCGGCATTGTCATTCTAGCGTAAAGTTCCACAGTTCCTCTATTATGTGAATTGATAATGGCATAAAAAAACACATTTATTAATTATTAACAGCAACACGTGTATGAAAACCTCTTTTATAAATGTCAAAGTAATAAAGCAGAGGGAAAAATCAGTTCTCTCAGGAAACAAAGAAGATCCAGGGAGAACTGCGGCTTCCCCATCCTAACACAATGGACTTTTTGAATGGGCTGAATAATAAAGTACATATTTTTAAAATGAATGAAAGCATGTATTTAACTTGGTTTAGAGTTGAGGTTCGCAAAAAATCCAAGCCAATTGTGTAATTGAACATGAAATGTTATTCATATTTAATTAAAAAAAAAAAAAAAAACATAATTTTGTGTATGGTTACCACTTAGCAGGGTCAAATAAATAGGCCTAGAATAGACTGAATATTACCAATAATTCATTAATAGAAATATCAAACCACATGGCAACAGCAAAATGTTAAATATAAATTAATTACAGTACGTTCTTTTAAATATGTAATATTGCTTCAAATGCATATTTAAAGTAATTATTCTATGAATATTCATAAATATGCATGTGCACACACAAACTTTTTTAAGATATGAATATACATTTTAGTGTGGGGTAGGTAAGATTTTATTTTATTAAATTTTGGGGGGGATTATACTTTTTGATGCATAAATGTGACAAGGCTCAGAACTTTGCAATCACAGGATCATTGCAAAATATATTAATATTAAAAATATTTTTTAATTAAAATTGTAATATTTATATAATAAAATAGTATTATAGTTTTTAAATGCCTTTTAGTGTTTTTTTTTTTGATAAAATAAATGCAGCATTAGAGACTTTAATTGAAGCATTCAATGAAACTTTTAGAAAAATTCTTACACTGTAAAAAATATTTTCAAGATTTGTTATCACAACATATTTTCTTTTGTCAAATCAACTTTATAATAATTTATTTAGTTGAGATAACTTATTATTTTGAGTTTCTGGTGGTTAAATTAATCTACTTCATTGTATTAACTCACTTTTTCCAGTTCAATCAACTTAAAATTTTAAGGCAACCCAGGTTACTTACTTTTTTAAGTTAAACCAACAAAAATTTTTACAGTGTACCGACCCCAAAGTTTGAATGGTATATATATATATATATATATATATATATATATAAATGTATTTTATAATACTGTAACAAAATCAGACACAGCAATACTGAGGTGTACAAATGTTTCATCCTCTTTTAATTAAAAACGCATTCTGTATCATTAAAATATGCAAATGTTTTGAAATTCTCTTTCGTCAGGACAAAGTCTTGAATCCTTTGAAAAACACTGCTAGCGGTTAGCGCCCGTGCTACGACATATTGAGCTGTTTGAGTCAATTTCCTGTCCTACTATCCCTCTCAACATAAAAAATAACAAAACAAAACACGTATATAGAGTACTTTGTGAGATTGTGGTTCATTCAGAGCTCCCTTCCAACCCTTATATATCCCTTCAGGCAAAGCTGAATAAATTCATAAAAGTGCCTCAAATTACAAGGAATCCAAATGGTTGCGCGGGTAATAACTGAAACACCGATTTTACACTTTTGCGCAGACGGCGTGAGAAAGTCAAATACGTTATCGGTGAAGGATATCGATCTCTCTGAACTGAAAGCTATCTGAAAATGTGACGACCGCCAGCAAGTAACTAGTGTGTTTGATGGGGGGAAAACATCCCCTCTTTTGAAATGAACGGTTTAAGAACAGGGATCATGGGATGGTGGGGTGGTTTTTTGCAACATGTAACAGACCTCCTCTTAAAAATCTTTATATATTTTTGGTTACAGAGTTTCTAATAAAAACAAAAATTAAGAAAAGAGTCCAACAAGTGATCCTCCTGTTGCTGAAAGCCAATAGCGGTTCATAAAGTCCAATTGGCCCCAAGTGTCTCCGTTTCAGACAGACACGGGTCGGTCCACGCTCCTGGTCTGCCTTGCAGACATATGCTCTGGTCACAAGAAAAAAAAGACAAAAAATAGAATATGAAGAGTATAACTCCATAATCTTGAAAGATATCAAGTTTCCCATATCCTCGTTGGACCTCTATTGGTCAATTCAGGGCTCCAGTTTTCTAGACCTGAGACTTTTAACCAGAAAGTCTGCTGACGAAGAGCTGTCCAAGTCAAAGGCAGTGTGTTATTTAAAGGGAGAAGCCTCTAGAGATGTTCACTCTAGACTCAAACGGCCAATCCCGAATAGGAGAAATCCTGGTTCTCGCATACACACTCGGTGTGTAATGTCGGAGGCATTAGTTTTCCACAGGCGTGGGGTTTTGGGGCAGTGGTGGGGTTGCGGGAGGCTGGCTGACGATCACCTGAACGACATAGTCTCTGGAGATCTTCAGCTCTTCCAGCTTCATCTTGTCGGTGAGCGGTCGGCCGGAGAAGAACCAGCGCTGGCTGGTGGACGCCACGCCCTCCTGGGCCTGCAGACGCCGCTTCATCTGCTGGACGCTGTCGCTGGTGCGGACCGCCAGGCGCAGATCCCGGCCCGTGGAAAGACGGAGACGCAACTGGCACTCGTGGCCCTCGCAAGCTGGAGCTTCTGGGACCTCGATGGTCTCCGACTCGCTCTTTTCCTCGATCATGTTGACGGGTGGGGAGAGGCAGTAGACGGGCAGCTGGTAGCGGTTCCCCAGCTCATCATAGCACTCGGTCAGAGCGCCTGGAGATAGCAGAAAAACAAGCCATTTAGACACGTTTAGTCCCTCTTTGTTGACTTAGTATTATAGGGGACCGTAATATTCTAATATAGAATGTCTAAGATGTAGTTGAATGCAAAAGTTTGAGATAAAAAAATAAATGTTATGATTAGGGCTGTCAAACGATTAATCCCATCCAAAATAAAAGTTTGTGTTTACGTAATATATGTGGGTGCACTGTGTATAATTATTTTATATATATATATATATATATATAAATAATACACACACATGCATGTATTATATTTAAAATATTTTTAAAATATTTTATATATAAATAATATTTTTTTCTTAAATATACATGCATATGTGTGTATTTATATATATACAAAATAATTATACACAGTGCACCCACATATATTATAAACACAAACTTTTATTTTGGATGCGATTAATCGTTTGACAGCCCTAATATTTATATTTATATATAATATATTTATATTTATATATATATTATAAATTATATATAAATCTATATACAGTATATACATGAAAATATTTCTTATATAAATATATATCTATAAAATAATTATAGTTCTGTGCTGTGTTTCGAACATTATTCAAATGAGCAAAATTCATGCACCTCCTTTGTATAAATTGTCAGATTTCCTTGCTTTCATTGAAGCTCAAGAAAATAAGCTTTAAATCATTCTCAAATGCTGGATAAAACCAATCATTTGTTTTTACACAAATTAAGAAGTTCAATCTTGAGTTATGTCGATATTAGGGGTGTAACGACACCCTCATGTCACGACACGATATGATTAGGTTAGTTTACTAACTGTTGATTAAAATGCTAAATTTGATATTTACATCATGTGTGTAAATGAATAGGCTTGGACTTTGGCTGGTAACCCAATGCACAGGACCCAATAGTGACAACAGATTAAAAAATATTCAATATTCTGAAGCTGAAAACAATTATTTTACATGAATATGCTTGCACTTTCACTGACTAGATATATTTTAAATAATATATAGGCCACTGTTTACTGGTAACATAAGACATTTGGCATTAAAAAGACCCACAAATATTCCCCCATTGCGTTATTATACATTATATTCAACATAGAAGTTTAATGTAGTTTTGACACTAAAACTTATAAATTATTCCACACACAGTAATTTTAATTTTGGGTGAACTACACACAATGCATTGTCACTATCTACGATACATATTTTTGATAATATAGTGACAAACCTAGTCCATAGATAAGTTGGATAGATAGACAGAGTACCACAAGGCTCAGTCCTGGGCCCGTTTTTATTTTCTTTAACCAAACACAACTTTGCATTTTATTTTTTATGCTGGTGATATGGTTATCAATTGTGTGTCCGTCGTCATCATCAAGGCCGAAAGAAACCGAACGAAAGCAGTTTTGTAAAACAAGTGTCTTACAAACCCCCCAGTGTTCAAGTGAAAGGTGAGAGTGGTGAGAAACTCCCTAAGATGTTCAAGAAGATGGGAAGAAAACCTTAGGAGGAACTAAGACTCAGATGGGGAAGCCCTCCAACTTGGATTGGCACAAATTTAAACTATGGCATAGAAACGTTAATGCAAATGTATTAAAACAGTATAATTATATTAAAATAATATTTTAAGAACCATCATAAATCCTCCAGGCTTTTGATTCTGTAGAACAGACACTTGGTGTGGTATTATTTGGTACTTGTATTAAGGTTGTTCTAAAATCCTACAATTCCTACTAATAAAATGAACAAAGAAACGCATCACATGATTAGCATTCCTATGACATAGACTAGAGAATGACTGTGGATCTCTCAAGCAAAGAGGAAGTTGGAGTAATGAATTTACACCAAAGGAACGATAAGCTTACATCACTGGCTTCTTCCAAAGAGGAAGTAAGTCATTTTAATCATAATGAGCAACACCTCTAAGGAATTTAGCTAAAATTATTATGTAATTATCATTCTCTTATAATGACACAAGTAGGTTTTGTTTATATGGATTGTTTTTGTCGTATCAGTGATGAAAAATGTCATTAATTGCTTCTGAAACTTTCTGGTGAAACCCAGAAAAAAAAAAAAGTTCAACAGTTCACCAAAAAATGAAAATGAAAAAAATATACAAATACTATACTATACTATACACTATACTATACTATACTATACTCGTTCCATGCAGTGAAATCAAACGTTAGAACAATAACTACACCTATTAAGTTTTTAAAAATCATCCAAAGAGAATATCAAAGTCCACACCACAACTCATTTGGCAGTTAAGTTTCCTAAAGACTCTCATTATAGCAGTATAAACATTTTAACTTATAAATATGAGAGCGTAATGAGACATTTTGATGCTTTAAAATCTCATGATGTTTGATTCTTTTCGCATTCATGTTCGATTCAATATCGTGCTGCATTTTTTATTGAAGTAGGAAATTCCCTCCATCTACTTTTTAAAGGAATGCTATTGATCTTATGGGGAAAGTTTCATCCATGCAAGTTTATTTATTCTATTTAAAATTTTTAGGCAATATGTCAATCTCCCAGTGAAACAACAGACTTCTCCAATCGTTTTATTAATTCAAGTCAAGTCACCTTTATATATGATTATTATTATATATTCTTTGTGTTTATTTAGCGCAAGTAAAAATAAGGAAACCAAGCCTTAATTATAACTGCATTATACTTCTTGCATAATACATTTTGAATGTCAGAAGCGGCCACCTCACTGCAGCACACGAGATCCAGGGGGCGGAGTTGGATCCAGATCCAATGGGTGGAGAATGGTAGGATTAGGGGTGGGGTTAGGGATCAGGGGGCGGATATGGGTAGGTTTAGGGGTGGGGTTAGGGGATCAGCGGTCAGAGATGGGTACGTTTAAGGGGTGGGATTAGGATCAGGGGGAAGATATGGGTAGGTTTAGGGCTGGGGTTTAGGATCAGGGGGTGAGAATGGATAGGATTAGGGATCAGGGGGAAGTAATATGGGTAGGTTTAGGGGTGGGGTTAGGGATCAGGGGGGCGGATATGGGTAGGTTTAGGGGTGGGGTTAGGGATCAGGGGGTGGAGATGGGTAGGTTAGGGTGGGGTTAGGGATCAGGGGGTGGAGATGGGTAGGATTAGGGATCAGGATGAGTAGGATTAGGGGTGGGGTTAGGGATCAGGGGCGGAGATAGGTAGGATTAGGGGTGGGGTTAAGGATCAAGGGGCGGATATGGGTAGGTTTAGGGATCAGGGGGTGGAGATGGGTACGATTAGGGGAAGTGTTAGGGATCAGCGGTCAGAGATGGGTATGTTTAAGGGGTGGGGTTAGGGATCAGGGGGAAGATATGGGTAGGTTTAGGGGTGGGGTTAGGGATCAGGGGGCGGAGATGGATAGGATAAGGGGTGGGGTTAGGGATCAGGGGCGGAGATGGGTAGGATTAGGGATCAGTGGGTGGAGATGAGTAGGATTAGGGATCGGGGTGGAGATGGGTAGGATTAGGGATGGGGTTAGGGATCAGGGGCGGAGATGGGTAGAATTAGGGGAAGTCTTAGGGATCAGCGGTCGGAGATGAGTAGGATTAGGGGTGGGGTAGGGATCAGGGGGTGGAGTTGGGTAGGTTTAAGGGTGTGGTTAGGGATCAGGGGGCGGAAATGGGTAGGTTTAGGGGTGGGTTAGGGATCAGAGGCGGAGATGGGTAGGATTAGGGGTGGGGTTAGGGATCAGTGGTGGAGATGGGTAGGATTAGGGGTGGTGTTAGGGATCAGTGGGTGGAGATGGGTAGGATTAGGGATCAGGGGGCGGGGATGGGTAGGTTTAGGGGTGGGGTTAGGGATCAGTGGGTGGAGATGGGTAGGATTAGGGATCAGGGGGCGGAAATGGGTAGGTTTAGGGGTGGGGTTAGGGATCAGAGGCGGAGATGGTAGGATTAGGGGTGGGGTTAGGGATCAGTGGGTGGAGATGGTGGATTAGGGGTGGTGTTAGGGATCAGTGGGTGGAGATGGGTAGGATTAGGATAGGGGGCGGGGATGGGTAGGATTAGGGGTGGGGTTAGGGATCAGGGGTGGAGATGGGTAGGATTAGGGGTGTGTTAGGGATTAGGGGTTGGAGTTGGGTAGGTTTAAGGGTTGTGGCGGGATCAGGGGCGGAAATGGGTAGGTTTAGGGTGGGGTTAGGGATCAGAGGCGGAGATGGGTAGGATTAGGGGTGGGGTTAGGGATCAGTGGTGGAGATGGGTAGGATTAGGGGTGGTGTTAGGGATCAGTGGGTGGAGATGGGTAGGATTAGGGATCAGGGGCGGGGATGGGTAGGTTTAGGGGTGGTGTTAGGGATCAGGGGGCGGAGATGGGTAGGATTAGGGATCAGGGGCGGGGATGGGTAGGTTTAGGGGTGGGGTTAGGGATCAGGGGCGGAGATGGGTAGGATTAGGGATCAGGGGGCGGGGATGGGTAGGTTTAGGGGTGGGGTTAGGGATCAGGGGGCGGAGATGGGTAGGATTAGGGGTGAGGTTAGGGATCAGGGGTCGAAGATGGGTAGGATTTGGGGTGGTGTTAGGGATCAGGGGCGGAGATGGGTAGGATTAGGGATCAGTGGGTGGAGATGAGTACGATTTGGGGTGGTGTTAGGGATCAGGGGGCGGAGATGGGTAGGTTTAGGTATATGTGAGGTGGGAGGAGTTGGATCTGGATCTCCTCCCCCTGGATTTCCTGTTCTGCAGTGAGGACAATCTCAAATTGGTCAAATGGTGATTCCTCCCAATGAAGAAAAAGAGAACAAAAGGCAAAATTTGTGTTGCTATATCGCCCAGGCCTAGTGGACAGCGTCCTTGCAGATGTTTCAAATCAGCATCCTCCACAGTGTAAGGGATATTCATGTCCTAGTTGTGTCACTCAAAGTGAACACCAAGCAAGGATGAAAGGAGTCGAGAGGACACTGACCGACGTATTATTCCCTCCACATGAACCTCTTCTCTATTCAATCACAATCTTAAGTACCCCTCTCGTCATATTAATGTGCCTTTGACAAACGCCTTTAGATGGTTATTCAGCCAGTGAGAGTCAATAAATGTTCAAGAGCTGCTTCAGAGGCGATTTCTTGGCTCTCAGTCAAATACAGTACTGTCCGAATATCAAGAGCCTGACCAGAGACCCAGGAAACAGCTTCAATGTAACAATACGTATATCTATTTTTATTTTTAATGGAACTGGTTAAAAAAAAACGTTATGGCATCGGTCTACACTGTACAGAAAAAAATGAATGTATATTATCAAATTAATCATTTATGAGATCTTTTGTGAAAAAATATTAAACATACTGTATAGTATGGCTATTGTAGTCCAACCAATTTCTAAAAGAAGTAAAATATCTTATAAGCAAACATACAATGTAGTCTGATTCAGTGTTATACTAGTATTATTTATATACTATTAAAGTTTTAATTAATTTCTTCAACTTAACTTTCTTCAATTTTAGCCATTTTGTTATGTGATTGACATTTTTTTTTATTTCCATTTAAGATTAATTTATTTTTATCTTGGTTTTAGTTCAATTTAGTTTCTATTTACTTCCAAATGCTGGGTTGTTTAAACCCAAAGTTGGGTCAAATATGGACAAACCCAACCGTTGGGTTAAGTCTTATATTTACATTTTTAACCCAATGTCCATATTTGAACCAACTTTGGGTTTAAACAACCCAGTGTAATATTAGTGCTTTAACTTAAACTTATGCCAAGGCAACATTTACATTTCTTGTTTAGTTTTCTAAATGAATCTAATATTCATATTTTTTTATGTGGCTATATTTACTGTAATAAAAATCCATTATAAATTGATATATCGCAAGTAAAAGCATTTATTTTCACTATTGGCCACGTTTTCTGAATTCAGGGATGTTGAAGTTAACGTAACAAAAAGATAGATAGATAAAGAGATAGTTATAATATTAGTTTAATAGTTTTAGTTAATAATATCTGGTCTGATTCCCAAATACTGTATATGACTTTATGAGTCAGTTTCTTTGAATTAAATCAAACACATGCAGGTTATTATAGTCACCACCAAAATGACTGAAACATCATTAAAAAGCTTTTTTTGAAAATTGTTTTAAGAAGTCTTTCAATTTGAAATGATGCGTTTCATCAATAACGCCCATTAAAAGGAATCAATTGATTCTCGTTGCTAGTTGGGACACATTTTGGTATCAAAACACACAAGGAATAACACGTTTGTGATTTAACTAAATATAAAAAGCTGCACTTGATCCTCTGGGATGAAAATGATAAAACTGGGTTAGACAGATGTTAAAGATGGAGAAATATGCTGAGATCAGCAGTTAAAGTAAAAAGGCCCGACGGTTCTGCAAGATTAGACGCATTCAATGTCGTCTACAATACCAAGTTTCCAAACACTGAAAACAATGCGATTCAATACCGATACAGTGAATGGAAGTCAAATGCTCTTCGCATAAACGTGACCACAATTTCTCTGAAAGCAAGAGAAGTGCGTAACCCACCTCTGTTTACTCACACCCAGAGAAGAGAAAGTGGAGACTGGTTATGATCTGTGACCTTCTCACTGCTATAAATACACCCGTAGCACGTCCAACAACCACAGGCCCGATTCATGACAAGAGCGGCTGTAGGACTCCCCGAAAATCTCCCGCTGCTGATGCGCACTATGACTACATCGCTGCGTTTAACATGGCCTGGTCATCCGGTGTGGTGTGGTGGGGTTATACTTTGACATGGCCACTATGGGGTGAACGTTTTGGAAGCCGTGGGCTTATGAAGAATACGTGCAGGGAAAATTTGTACATTGCCGTTTATGATAAACGTGCCAAATTCATAAAAAAATAAAAACTTTTAATTTTAATGACTCGGAAATATGCCATGCGGTGTAACCATCGATTAAAAAAAACATCAAACATATTTTTCTGGACCATGACATCATTTTTTGCAGAACTGCTTTATAGATGACATTAATTTAATAATTGTAAAAATAACCAGAACTGAATCAACACATCATTTTAATAAATAAAGATAACTTGACTTGTCAAATCAACATTTATATTAATGATAATGAGTCAAATGACAAATATTGTTGACACTTATGGAAGAAAACGTGAAAATTCATGAAAATGTAAATAAGTCGCATGAGGTCCTGAATTTCTAAGGAAAGTTCTTAAGAATTTAAAGTCAAGTAAAAACTTTACAATTACACCTTAACATTTTTATTACACATTGAATATTTTTTTTTAAAAAGTTCAAATGTTTTTTTTTAGGGCTGTGCAAAAATTAATTGCGATTAATCGCATCCAAAATAAAAGTCTGTGTTTACATAATATATTTGTGTGTGCTTTATAAAATTATTTTGTATATATAAATACCTATGCATGCATGTCTATATTTAAGAATTATTTGCGCTTAAATTCTGTATATACAAATACATAAATACATAATCCATATATATAAATATTTTATATATGAATAACACATTTGCTTAAATATATACATGCATGCGTGTGTATTTATATATACAAAATAATTATATACACATATTGAGAAGAAAATACAAATTGTAGCCAACATGGTTTTAAAGCTGTTGTTATCGATTTTTGTAAATTTATTTATTTATTTATTTTTTGCCTTCACAACATCTTAAAATGCACATCTGTAGTTCAGAGAAATCCAAAATTGTCATCATAATTTTCATCATAAAGGAATTATGCTTAGGGCAGCAAAATGGCTAGCAGCAGCACTGCTGTTGTACAGTACTATTTAGATTTGTCCTGATCACAATAAATTAACCAATAAATCACAATAAATTATCATGAAAAATTAATTTAAGGAATAATCAATTTTTCTTCCATGTTATAATTTTAACAGTAAAGCTCATTGTGCAGCATGTTATTATTTGATAAATTATCAAATTTGTGTTTTATGTAACAGAAAAAGATTTTTTCATTGATTTTTTTTAAATGTTGTATAAGTTTAAATGATTCATATTACATAATTTACAAAAAAAATGTACACCAGGTATCCGTAACACCCCCTCGTGTGTTTATAACGGAGGCGGTGCGCTGGTCTGTGAGATGTGCCTCTTACCGTGTGGTAACGTTATGCTGGCGCCATCAATGATGGCTTGAGCAAGTTCGTGGTCGTTGCTCTCGAAGGCCTGGGCAGCCGCCTTAAGTGCATCCCAGATTTCCTTGCGACCTTCAAAAGCCGGTGCCGTGTCCCAGAATTCATCACGCTTACTGCGCAGCTGGCCATCGGTCATTGGGTAGTCGCTCTTCCATTTGGGCTTCTCTCTCTTCAGGGGCTGGTTTCGGCCCAGTGCAACTGCAAAACACACAACAACAGGTCAAAACATATGGCAAATCAGATTTCAGAGCCTAAATTTTCCATGATATACATATTTATCATTGATGAGCTGATAGCATAAGGCAAAAATAATTAGGGCTGTCAAACGATTAATCACATCCAAAATAAAAGTTTGTGTTTACATAATATATGTGGTATAATAATAATATTATAAATAATGTAATAATAATACATAATATAATAAATAATGTATATTTTGTGTGTGTGTGTGTGTGTATATATATATATATATATATATATACACACACATGCATGTATATTTAAGAAAAAAAAATTATTTATATATAAAATATTTCTATTTATATATAATATAAATTATATATAAATCTATATACAGTATATACATGAAAATATTTCTTAAATATACAAGCATGTGTGTGTATTTATATATATATAAAATAATTATACACAGTGCATCCACATAAATTATGTAAACACAGACTTTTATTTTGGATGCGATTAATCACGATTAATCGTTTGACAGCCCTAAAAATAATATAATATAATATAATATAATATATAACCCTGTGATCCAACTACATAGGACAAGCGGTATGGATGAAAAATAAATAAATAATAATGCATCAAATAAAATAAAATAAAAAAAGTACATTTGAACATTTAGGACAATGATGGATATTATATTATATTATATTATATTATATTATATTATATTATATTATATTATATTATATTATATTATCCAGTACACAATGTGCCTTACACACCATAAACATAAAAGTAAATCTAAACAAAATAAGCAAACCATATAACACACACAATATACACTCTACAGACACAGCGGAGCCTAAAACAATAACACAGTCCAGTGAGATGAATCACACACACATTCTTATATACCAGTCCAAGAGAATAAAAACTGGACAAATAAAAATGCCCAAACAAGGAATCCCTTACAGGCACAACATCAAATGCAAAACGCCTTTGCCAACACTAGTCACTACAAACAGAGAACTTGAACGACCACTACAAACCACCAACAATGCGTGAAAAGACGTTGAAATTGAATCCAAGAATGTTCTTTATATGAATATGAAGCATGACCAAAAATACAAAGGCAAACAAACAGCTTTTGGTTTTAACACAAAAACATGCATACAGGCCAAAAGGGGTCAGTATCGAGTTCAGTTACGAATAAAATGCTAACAAACAAAAACAGAAAGTCTACCGTTGGCATAAGAAAAGATATTTGGGGAAATCCAGGAAAAGGGTTGAGGGATCATACGGTTTCCAGGCGGTGCTGTGTGTGATATAAGACTTAGCTCCAAAAACAACAGTTTGGTAACAGATCATCTTGTATTCGTCTTGCATGTCCTAAATTATTGAGGTCACAAGTCATTTTTGGGCAAAATTTTTTTTTTATAGCAACATATTTTTTAAAGAAGTCACTTATACATTTATATATAATAATAATAAGTTACATTTAATATTTTTAATTTGCAATTACAGCTATAAAATGCAACTAATGTTACCTTGCAGACATATTTACAGCAGAATATGCTAAAACAATATTCAAAACCTCACAGAATCCTAAATGTTTTCGAGTTAACAAAGCCTAAAACTGAAGCTCCATGCCATCCATATTAATAAACCCTAAAAACAAGCCGTTTTAGCTTTTATTCATTTCCAGGATATGAATTATTGACATCAACAATTACATTCCTGACATTAACAATTACATTTTTGATATCAACAATTTAATTGTTGATATCCACAATTCAATTCTTGATATCAACAATTGTATTTTCACTAGTGAAATGTCACCATAGGCTACCATTCAAAACCAATTGTTGATATCAAAACTTCAATTTTTACTAGTGACAATGTTAATTTCTGATATCATGAATGTGGTTGTTACTAAGAAAGCCATTTTAAATATCTGAAATTTGATTGATGTCAGAAATACATTTTCAGATATCAAAAATGATCATTTTTACTAGTAACAATTGAATTGTTGATAATCAAGAATAGACATTTCAACTAGTGACAATTTAATTATTGATATCAGGAATTCACATTTTTACCGGTAACAATGTAATTATTGATATCAAAAATTATATTTCAATTAGTAAAAAAAATAAATTCTTGATAAACAATTCATTTTGAATGGCAGCCTATGGTGAAAATACAATTACAGATATCAACAATTCAATTGTTGATATCAAGAATTCATATCCTGGAAATGAATAAAAGCTAAAACGGCTTGCCATAAAAACACCTCATATGAAAAGCAAGTGGATGTTAGTGGCACATGTTGTAACATTCTGTCCTTTGGGAATAGATATACCGCAGTAATGGCATTTGTTGAAAGCAAAACCTTGAGATGTATTGCACTCTCTATAAACCAGCACACAGACTACAGACACACAGACTCCCAGTCAATAACACTGGCAGAATTACCAAGGGCTGAAATCCAAGCAGTTACATCAGACGTCTTTGAGAAAAGGAGATTTATTGGGTAAAACATCTGGCTGCCATTATAAAACCTTTTTGGTCAGGAACGCAGGTTGCAGAACAACCAAAGCCTGTGATAATGCTACCCAACACTAAGATGTTCAGTGATGAGACACAAAAACAAGCATAAAACTCCAGACAAAGACTAAACCAGCAGCTGGCCATGAATAATTCAGCCAGCTCCAATATACCAGTATAGCGCTTTTTATGACCCAGAAACCATTTCAACAACCCAGAATCAATCCTTGTCGTTGATACAGCACCTTACTAACGCAAGACGGGATTGATTGATTTCCTACATTCTGCAAATGAACTTCCTGTTTGTGTGCATTGTGAAGCGGGGCTAGTCCTAGGCGACAAAGCAGCTCTCTGATGACCTCTTCCTGTTGTCAAAGAGCCAGCAACACATGCAACTTCATGAATGAAACCAAACAAAAGAAAAAAGTGTGTTATTGCAGAGTACAGACCATGGTCCAATCACAGGCTGTGAGGAGGAGACTGTGACTTTGGTTTTGGATGTCTCCTACAGTAGGTTTACATGTAATTAAGATTACATTTTCTCAATATAAACATTGAATTGTCTCAAAATACCTGAAATCATGGAGACGGACCCATTATTGATCTTAGTGACACCTGTAAGATTGGATTAAAAACTGCCTTATCGGAGCCCGACCGATAAAGGATTTTGAAGGCCGATACCGATGCAAATATTTTTGGGTTTTAAAATCCGATATATCGGCTGATATTTTATTTTTTTAAACTGGAGATGATTAGTCACAAATTTTGTCATGCTTATTTGAGTTAAGAGAACTGTTTTTTAATTGTTATTCAAGCAATGTATGTCTCGTGACCAACTCAACGAGTGTTGCCAACTGGAACGGTGTAGAGCGCCCTCTGGTGGACAAACTATACAACTCCAACACTCATGACATGGTTCAAGCGTGTTTCGTCCGTTTTTATTTTATTTTTGAAATATTCATTTATCGGCCATTATAACTGCCGATACCGATAGTTCGGAAAATGCCTAATATGGGCCGATAATATCCCAGACAGCAAACTGACATTGAATCAACGTGGAAACGACGTCTCTCATGACATTGAAACAACGTTGATTTTGCTCATCGAATTTACGTTGAACCAACGTCAGACGCGGCATTCTTCAAAGCTAAATGAAAATCGAAAATTGGTTTGCTTTCATAACGTTGAAACAACGTGTTGATTTCAAGTTGATTATCCGTTAGTTTTGAAAGAATGACGCGTCTGACGTTGGTTCAACGTTAATTCGATGAGCAAAACAATGTCAGATCAACGTTGTTTCGATGTCATGTTTCTACGCTGATTCAATGTCAGTTTGCTATCTGGGATCGGTCTGGGTCTAGCTGCAATACGCTGTTTTCCGCCAACTGGCAACCCGGGGTGTCGAAATACTATTGGGTGAATTGGCAGTGGGCGGGATCACAGAGACCAAAACAAACACAGTCATTCTGACACAGAACGCACATTTTCGAAGTAGAATAACTGGTTGTAGCTTTGTTTTTCAGAGAAACGAGTTTGTGAACTTAGCATGTTTCTTAAATATATGCTATTTTTATGCTTTAGTACAGTCAAAAATACACAATACTGATTTGAAACGCTCCATGTAGGAAACAACTCTGTGTTCAGTAGAGTTTGTTGTTAGCATGTGGCTAAGCTAACAATGAGAGGCTGCAAAATTAATAAAAAAAAGTGAAAGAATGAACAAAGTGAAATAACAGTGACGGCAAGCAAATGAGACTGTACACACTACATGATTGTTACGGGCGCTCTCTGGGATCAAGCTCTCACCCAGACAATGACTCCAGCAGCGATATACTAGACTCTATACAAACAAATCACAGTGTAAATACACTAAGAGCCGCAAAAGTGACTCTCTATTGCTCGGGGGGGACGGGGACGGGGACAGTCGCTGTCTCTTGGAGAGCGTGTGGACTTCCCTCAGGGCACACATTTCTCCATGCCGCTGACAGAAAATCTATAACATCACAGTTCTATTTCCTGTTTATAATGATGCACTAGCGGCAGAGTCTTTATTTATAAAGTGGGTTGAATGAGGTGACAAAAGCCCAGGGTTGTTTGGAATATCTTATCTTAATTTTTGTACAGTACATATAGTTAACAGGGTTTGAAATTAACTTTTTCAATATACATATGAAGAGTTCAGATGCAAAAGCCTCTAAATGCCATTTGAAATTTTCTTCTTTAATGATGATTTTTATCAAACTTGTATATTTAAGTTCCGTAATTTCACTTAAATGGCGATGATAATTACCTATTAATTGTAATTTAAGTGAAATTACTGAACTTAAATATACAAGCTTGATAAAAATCATCATTAAAGAAGAAAATTTCAAATGGCATTTAGAGGCTTTTGCATCTGAACTCTTCATATATATATATATATATATAGACACACACTCACCAAAAGGATTATTAGGAACACCACA